TTTTGGTCCATTTCAACCCCTAAATATATGGCGATCATCTTAAAAAAGAGTAGGCTTCTATTCTGACCCTCATCTGATCCCCCTGCAAAATTTCGTTAGGATCGGGCCATAAATGCGATCTGTATATGATATCCTGATATCCTAACTACTTAGTTTTGTTAGCTGTAGAAATATTACCAAATATTTAATTCAAAATGAAAATATGCCAAAAATGTGACAAAATTGAAAAAAATATGAGAACATTTTACAAAATCAATATTTTCATCTTTAGAGAGATATTTTTATGCGATTTTTTAGACGTTGTTTCTTTCCTGCCAAGAGGCCATTCTGAATTAATGAGAACTGTCGAAATCAGTTCAGCCGTTCTCGACATATAAGAGATTTTTCAAGCATATCTTCTTTGATAGACATATATATCGCACATATTTTGCTATATATCCGATTTGTTGGATGTTAACATCAATGTAAAGGTCAGAAGTAACCTTGTGATGGTTTTGTGATTTCGCCGGGATTTAAAATATTCACGGTTTAATGAAAATTTTTGAATTTTTCAACACAAAAGATATGGTCTATTTTACCCGCTAAATATTATCCGATGCCCACCCAAATTGGTAGGCTTCTTCCCCTCCCTAAACTCCAGCTACATGCGAAATTCCGCGTCGATTGGTCCATAATTGCGACCTGTATAGCTACTGCAAAATCCGACATTTTTTCAGTATTTGGTCCATTTCAACCCCTAAACATTTAGCGATCATCTCCAAAAGCAATAGGGTTCTATTCTGGTTCAAGCCCCACCTACATTCTAAATTTCGTGAAGATCGGACCATAATTGCGACCTGTAGAGTGATTACAAATTAACATGGACAGACGGACAGACGGACAGACGGACAGACGGACGGACGGACATACATAGCTAGATCGACTCAGCTCGGCGAGCTAGGAAGATCCATATATACTTTCCTATATGGGAAATCAATATTTCGAGGTGTTACATAAATCCTGGCCCAATCAAACTTATAATACCCCCAACACATAGTGTTGTAGGGTATAAAAACACTACAAATGTACATTAGAAAAAATTAAGTCAAAATGGAAAAAATCATGCAAAATAAAACATTACTATTGCACGTTTCAAAAGTCAAAATGAAAATGTTAATATATCACATTTTTAAGCCATTTTTTTGGATACTATCCTTTTCGGAGAGGAGAAAATTCAGAATTTGTGTGAATCGTTAAAATAAGTCCAGCGGTTCTTAAGTTATAAGCGTAGTAACTAACACAACTTTCTTTTATATATATATATATATATATATATAGAGTTAATAACAGCTTATTTTTATTTCTGGCATTGCCATTCATTGGAATTAGCTGTCATCTGTTTATTTTATCACTTTCCAACACTTAAAAAACAGACAACGGCGTCAAAACAATCATATAATCGACTATGATTACTAGTTCACAAAACTAATAATGTTTATGCAAGCCACACACGATACAACCGTTGGTACAACCTGGAGGGTTGTTAAGTTGTATGCTTCAGATACAAACGATACAACTTTGTATACAACCTCATTTGAGTTAAGATGACACCGAAAATAATTTCGTGCTCTATAATTTACTTAATAGCCTTTATTTATTATTAATCTTTAAAATTTGGTTTTATATATATTTTTTTTATTTTCATTGAAATCACACATTTGATTGGATTTCTTGTTGTTTTGCTGTGCGAAAAAATGGTGTTGCCTCTTTGAAAATAAACACATAATGAAATTGTATGCGACATGTCCACCAACATTACAATCGGTTGGTACAACATGCCAAATATCAAAAAATTTTGATTTTTTGTACAACCGAAACACAACTTCGTACAATCGGGCCACAAACGATACCATCTTGAATACAACCTCTCCAAGTTGTACAACCAGTTGCTTGGTCTAATTAAGCCAATATAACGGCATTACCTAAAATCCGACGTAGCGCATACAAATATTCAACTCCCTACGGTAGAAAAATATAGGTAGACGCATCAACGCTTGGGGACATTGAGTCAAAAATTGTTTAATGTTTTTTCAAATATAAGTAGATTTTTATATGTTTTCTTACACGACGACATTCGGAGGTTTTTCAACATTTTTTACAAATTCAAATATTTTTTCATTCAACATTTTCAATTCCAAAATTGGTTTGACAGTTCATTGTCCCAGCAGCTGTGTCGATGCGTCTACATATATTCTTCTACCATGGAACTTTCCCATTATGGCTAAATGTTTTGTACTTTCGTATTACCCAACAAGTAAAAAAGCAGTAAGTTCGGCCGGGCCGAACTTTGAATACCCTCCACCATTTGGAACGAATTTGGAAATAAAATCCTGAAAAAATGTTGGTAAAATTTTAAAAATACCGAATATTGCCGTTATATTGGTGCCTATACGACGTGGACCCACACAGGCATTATTTGTCATGAGTCATTACCAAATTCAAATTCGGAACTTGAAATAAACGCGAATAAATCTCTAAAATCATCAAAGTATAGAATATAGGGAGGTACCGTTATATCGGAGCTGTGCGAAGACCTGAACCTGCGTAGACAATTTTTTGTCATATTCTGTAGCATCCATTACGAACTTCAAATACGACATTTCAAACAACTTCGGTGAGTATTGTACCTAAACTCGTCAAAATACCGAATATAGGGAGGTACAGGTATATGGGGCCTATACTGTCACAGACTGGAGTTTCCATTACGAACTCTAAATGCGTAATTTGAAAAAATTTTGGTGAATAAAGACGCTAAAATAACCAAAATACCGAATATAGGGAGGTACCGTTATATGGGGGCTATACGAAGACGTGGACCTGAACAGACAATTTCCTTCTTAGGCTGTAGTATCTATTTCAAACCTCAAATTCTAAATTTGAAACTATTCCGGTGAATAATGTCGCTAAAATCATCAAAATACCGAATATCGGGAGATACCGTTATATGGGGGCTATATGAAAACGTGGACCTACATGGACCATTTACGAACTTAACCTGCCTACTGTAAAAATAAACCTGTGTGCAAAATTTTAGCATTGTATCTCAATTCGTTCGAAAGATAGCGTGATTACAACAGACAGACAGACGGACAGACTGACATCGCTAAATCGACATAGAATTTTACGCTGATCAAGAATATATATACTTTGTTATGTCTGACATGAGTATTTCGAGGAGTTACAAACGGAATGACAAAGATAATATACCCTCCATAGTATGGTGGAGGGTAAATTTGAATTTTTCACGACCGATGTAATTGGCTAACTCTCATATAAGTTTGTTTTTGTGTTTTTCTTGTGAAAAATTAATATTTTCGACGGTAATATGTAAAACACTTTACATGACTGAACTTATTCATCACATACTGTTTTTGTCGATATATTGCTTTTTCCAAAGACAAAATGCTATTATGAATTTGCTTGTTTGCCAATCAATATTAGTTAGCATTTTTTCGTAATACTTTAACTAAAGCTAAATCGTGAAAAAAGAACGTCTCTGAATTTTTTACACTATTAAGATCATATTGAATTCAAATTTCAACTGAATTTTAACATTTTCAGAATTGTGTTGCATGTTAGCCCCTATTAATATTACCCGAGCTTACGGGGCTCAATTTTTATCGTTCTCTATTAAACTTGCCTGCCGTATTCATACAAAGAAACTATTTTCAGAAAACGCCAAAGGCGATGGTTCGGAAGCATTTTTCCGGTTGAGAAACATCGACACCACGTTACATAATATATTCGTATATTTCATGTTTCCTAAAATTGCAAAATGTAGAATACTTTATGTATGTATATATATTTAGGAACATTTGTGTACCCTACGTCGAATTTTATGACCGCTATTATTCAGTACAATACATACACTTACAAAAACTGTGTACAAGTTATAACATTACAACACCACAAAAAGAAAAAAATGTATTCATATGATTGCTTGTCTTCATAAGGAGGTAGAACAGCTTTGAAAAACTACAGAAATACAACCCTGAGGCTATGCCCGCTTCCTGTCAAATTTGCATGCAAACAAATTGTTTTCATTTATTCAAAATTTTTCCTCTTTTCTAAAATCAGTAAACGGCGCGAAAAATGAATGAAATGGCTGGATTTTCTTTCAAAAATATGATATAAATAGTTCGATCTTTCAATTACATAGTAAAACTGGCGAATAGGTTTAATCCGCGTCCCGCAATGTACACGTCTTCCAATCATTGATTTTAAAAAATTTTTTGTTTCTATTTTTCAATACAATAAATACATACACAAAATTGGCAGGAGTCGGGTACACTTAGAAAAAATTATAATCCTACCTTACCTTTTTATTGTGCCATGGTTTCTTGTAAATAGGAAAATTGTAAAATTGTAATGTCATAAACGTTTTTGTAGGTGTATGTATTGTAGTGAATAATAAACAATTTTTTAAAAAATTTCAAATTCTAATGAAATTCATATGTACAGCTTTTGCGTAGACTATGTATACTTTTGCTTTTTAAGACGAAAAAGAACTTGTTTCATTTGTTAATGTGGGAATACATAAAGCGCTTATCTGGTTGGCTTAAGTCATGGATGGCTTCTTCGGATATGAACAAAGGAGGCTAGGGTCAAAATCGAACTAAGTCAACCTAAAACTCCTTTGTTCATATACGAAGAAGCCAGCCGATGACTTAAGCCAACTAGACAAGCGCTTTATGTATTCCCACATTAACAAATTACAAGACTCTAGCTTCAGCGTTGTATTTTTCAAATGTAATTATTTTCACACATATTCAGAGGCCCTAAAATTGTATTTCATTCAAAAACTATGATTTTAAGAGTCAACAAAATTGTTCAATTGCCGATGAGAATATGGATTAATGAATCAAAATATATGGCTACGTGTAAACCATATCTTACCTTATTCTTAGTGATAAAATGTTCATATCGATAACAGAATAATATTTGAAGGTTATCGATTACTGATTTCCCACTACCGACGATTAGCAAAATAATCGTATTAATTGTCATTCATTTCGGTCGACGAGTGTGTTTAATCGGGGTTTCTTTCATTAATATCTCGCAGAGGATTGCATTTATTTTAAGAATAAAGTAAATAATTATTTATTAAATATATTAAAAATATTCCCTTAAAAAGTGTTTCTGTTTCTCTGTGTTTGTGTTATGTTTAGGAATGGCTCAAAGCAAATTGAATGATTTGGCTGGTAAATTCGGCAAAGGTGGTCCACCAGGCTTGACCACCGGTCTTAAACTTTTGGCCGCTGTCGGAGCTGCTGCCTATGGTGTCAATCAATCGTTGTATACCGGTGAGTTTTCAAAACCGTGACCATAGTTCTAGAAAAGTGTTTGAATAACGAGACAATCTGGAAAACATTATTGTGAAATAACCTAACCTCAAAACGTCGTGTGTGAGAGTGCATGCAAAGATGTTACCGATAATTGTCTTGTCGGTAAATTTCATAATAACAACGTGATGTTGCGAAGCAATAAAATTGTGAGAATTATTAAAAGAGTGTAACTAAATAGCATTCAAAATTACTAAATGACCTATATAATCAATAGCTTTTGCAACAATTCTGTCAAGAAATGTCATGTTTTAATTCGTTTAGACATTAGACCGGTTGCATAACCTTTAAACCCATGTATCAATTGCCGCTTTGGTAGTTGATGTATTCTATTACTTGATAGTGAGTTTAACTAACATTGTATATATGTTTGTTTTTTACTTTTATTCCAGTTGATGGTGGTCACCGTGCCATTATCTTCAGCAGACTTGGTGGCATTCAAAATGATATCTATTCTGAAGGTTTACATTTCCGCATTCCATGGTTCCAATATCCCATTATCTATGACATCCGTTCTCGCCCCCGTAAAATCTCCTCACCCACTGGCTCAAAGGATTTGCAAATGGTGAACATTTCATTGCGTGTCCTTTCACGTCCCGATTCGACTCGTCTTCCCACAGTTCATCGTCAATTGGGTTTGGATTATGATGAGAAGGTTTTGCCCTCCATCTGTAATGAAGTTTTGAAGGGTGTCGTAGCCAAATTCAATGCATCCCAATTGATTACACAGCGTGCTCAAGTAAGTTGTAAATGTTGGATGTCCATACAGAGAATAATCTTCATTTTTAAATTTACGTTTAGGTTTCCCTTTTAATTCGCAAAGAATTGGTGGAACGTGCCCGCGATTTCAACATCATTTTGGATGATGTTTCCTTAACAGAATTGAGTTTTGGCAAGGAATATACCGCCGCTGTTGAAGCCAAACAGGTTGCCCAACAAGAAGCCCAACGTGCTGTGTTCTTTGTTGAACGCGCTAAACAAGAGAAACAACAAAAGATTGTTCAAGCTGAGGGTGAAGCTGAAGCCGCCAAAATGATATCCTTTTCAAAACACTTATATATTTATTAAACTTGGTGGGTATGGTAAATTTAGATTCAATATTTTCCCAAGAATTTAGGATTTGTAGGACAGTTGGCGATATCAAATGTAGAGATACTTGCTACAAATCTCCACATATCTTTAAAAATTTAAATAATTGTATTATATTTCTTTAACTGTAAAAATTCTTCACAATTTACTACCCTAGGACTTTAGCGTTCCTCACGACGAAGGACAGACACACTTGAAGGTCCAAAAAATTATTATTTTATTTCAAGTGTCGTAAGGTGGGGATATTCATAGCCTGCTTGTTTAGAAATTTTGCACAAATTGATGTATCGATTGCCGTCAGGAATAGTAAAAAAATCAAATATTTCGGTACAGCAACGGCTTCCGACAGCACGTCATTTTGGGTCTAAAGTGGAGACGCAACGCCCTTACTAAAATACAGCATTTCTGTGGATTTCTTATAACGATACAGCCAATTTCAGAAGTTTGGAATGTTGGAAATATTTTCCAATTGGTATTTTTATTTCTCCCGAATAGATCTTTACCTTACGGTCTCTCCCGATTTTCCTCTAAATGTGTGAAAATTTGAAAACTCGGACCCTCCCACAGAAACCTTCCATACATAATTTTTTAATGCAGGTCAACGTTTGGGCAAGCCAAAGCAACAATTTTGTCAAAATTTTGAACCAATCTCACTCTATTTCCCAACGTTTAGATTATCAGTACATATCTATGTTGTGGTTTAGCTGTAGTTTTTCATTCCCATCGTTTACTTAGGATTTACCGACATATATTTGTATTTTAAATTCTGCTAACCAAAAAACGCATTATTTTTTAAATCTGATATTATATAGTTCAAATTCTTGAATCTAAATTTACCATAATCCGATTTACATATTATCCCAAATATTCCCCCAAATATCTGCCAAAAACAAAACATGGTTTTCTTAACTGCAAAGTTTACTTAGGTCTGGCTGTTAAACAGAATCCCGCCTACTTGAAATTGCGTAAAATCCGTGCTGCTCAAAGCATAGCTAGAACCGTAAGCAAACTAACGTTTACTATTATTTTCTTCTCTCTCATTAACAAATATTCTTCATCTTCCTTCAGATTGCCAGCTCACAGAATAAGGTCTACCTCTCGGCTGACAGCTTGATGTTGAACATCCAAGACTCCGGCTTTGATGACATGACTGAAAAAGTTTACAAAAGTAAATAAACGTTTCTATATCAAGTGAACATCAAAACTCCCCCATCAACTAAAAATAAACAAAATATCTTAACCAACACCATGTGTTAAAAAAAATTAACAAAAAAGTGTTAATGAAAGAAAATGCTGTTTAAAATAATATTTGGCTGACCATGTCATATTGCATTTGTGTAAATAGGTACCATTATTGTTGGTACCTGTTCAACTATCCTTATGAATTTACAAAACTTATTGTTCACAGAGATGTAAATGAAAAATTTACTTGTATTTTCTCTATCTCTCTTTTTGTATTTCTTTCTGCTTTTTGATATGAATTTATTGCTATCTATTTTGAACTTCAATAATATATAGCATTGCCGGAGGATTTATTTGATCATCCACGACATCAGCAACAGCAGCAGCTACACTAACATGAACTTTATTCTAGAAATGCATTTGATGAGCCATTCAGTTTTATTCATTTGGAATCACTTTTTTGTTAATTTCATTTATAATAACTTTTACATTTATTTTATATTTTTTATTGTTTTAAAAATGCTGTATCCATATGGGAAACACAAAATTTCTCTGCAATTTAGTAGCAGCTCCTCCCTCTTCTAATCTATGGATATAAAAAATGTATAATTTCGTCATGTAGTTTTTAAGTTAAGTGAAACACACACAAAAATTGTTAAACAATAATTGAGTTGCTTTTGTAAAAAGCTTCACAGCGAACTCTGAATAATTTTTATTACCATATTCGCATTTCGCCAATGTGTCAAGTGCACATACAAAAGCATACTTAAACAAGAAACAAATAAAAAAGTTATTGTTAAAAAAAATACAAGAAATTTCCTTAAATGCTGTCTACGATTTGTTTAATAACTATATAAACTAATAAAAAAGCGATATAATTTCTGTTTAAAAGAACATGTCAATTTCGTTGTTTGTTAATTCTTATTATTTCTCCCAACATTTTGCAGTTGGCGTTGATTATTGGCTTGATGGATCCACAAAGACTTTAGGCAAACATTCCTTGGGGACAAAAAGTGTGGGAGCACTAGCTCACCACACGGCAGATCGTTTGGTCTAGCAAAATATGCAACACAATGAATAATTATGTGCCTTACGTTTTTTGTTTGTTAACAAATTTATCTTCCGAATTGTTTTCAAAATGTATTTTTATACTGCTGCTGAAAATCTAAATTTTTGAAAAATGTTTTTTGTTTTTCAAATTGCAATAAATTGTCGTACCTTTTTAGTACAAAATACTGTTTTTTTTTGCTCAAAAGTAGCTTGAAAACCAAATTAATCTCACGTCAACTGCGCCTGTTAGGAATGAGGGAAACACTCATCGTCCAGTATTAAACATTTTTTAACTCAAGCCCAAACGTGTATAGGGTCCTTTTGGACCCTATATTTCTTTAGAAGAAATTCGCTTCGGTACATTTGGGATCGACCTAACCATGTTCGATCATCCATCGGTCTGGTGGGTTCGCGCGGAGTAGAGTATATACTTCGTCTCGTATAAAGCGTGGTAAGTACACAATATGATGGTCCAAACTCTATAGTACCACCCTATACAATAGTATGGAGGGTATATTAAGTTTATCATTCCGTTTGTAAGGAGTAGTATGGAGGGTATATTAAGTTTTTCATTCCGTTTGTAACACCTCGGAATATAAATTGTATACCCCACAAAGCAGATTGATCAGCATAGACATCTATGTCGTTTTAGCAATGTACGTCCGTCTCTCTGGCTTTAGGTTGATAAATTTTTACTCAGATTCGGTCCGCGTTTTGTCATAGACCCCACATATATGTACCACGAGTTATGTGGTATTTTGATGATTTGTGCTACACTTTCCACCGGAAATTTGTAATTCGAAGTTCGTAATGGCTAATACAATTTGTATATGCAGGTCCAGGTATTTATATATCTATATTCGGTATTTGATGATTTAAACGACATTATTCACTGGAATGTTTCAAATTTCGTAATGAGTCCTAAAGTCTATGACAGAAAAATACTGTGCAGGTCCCCCTCTTCATTTCCGTATAGAGGACAAAGTCAAATAAAAAAAATGTATAAGGCGGACAAGGCCCCTTACACTTCGATGGTTTATATATAAACGAGTATGGGATGATTCATCAACGCACAGGCGAAATGGCGGAAGCTGGAATCTTGACATTTAGCTTGTAGGTCAATGCTGGTTTGTAGGAATGAGATAAGGTAATTTAAAGTGTACTAAACCTATTAAAAGCTAATTAAAGTGGAATCTATTTTATTGGTCATACGGATATATCTAAAATTCCGAAATTTCAAATGACGGTCGCTGAGGATGGAAAGATGTACCAAAGGTTTTTTTGGAAAAGCTGTAATGTACTAAAAGTTCTAAAAAGCACCATTTGGTATTTGGTGAACGAATAGAGCTAAAATCTTGGCATTTGGAATAAGGATTTACTTAAGGAATTAGGGGGAGGAGGTTTGGAAATATGTATTAATTGTAAGAAATTTACTAAATGGTAATAAATTTGGAAAAAATAGTGTTGATAGATGGAGCTGGAATTTTGAAATTTTTATATTGGGATCACTGTAAGTGTGTGGGGCTAAGATTTGATCGTGATTATTACCAAAAAAAAAAAAATACGAAAAGCACTAAATATCACCGAAATTTTTGGTATTTGGGGAAGGGATATATTTGGAAATCTTAAATTTAATATTAAGCTCCATTTTTATGAAGTAAGGTCGAGATTTGGAGGTGTTTTTTTTTGAAAAGTGTACTACTGAAATTTGGTATGAGGATCTCTTATGCTGTGTAGGATAGACGAACCAAAGGTTTTTTGGAAACTCAAATAATAATTTTGAAATGTTGGTATTGGATCCACTGCTGGGGTTGAAATAATGAAGTGGTTTTGTAAATACCTGCCAAAAGTGTACGAAAAGTACTAAGAGGTACTAAATTTGATTTTGGGTGAACGGATAGTGTTCGAAATCTGAAGTTTGGCATTAGAGCCACTGTGAGTTTATTGCATTGAGATTTTGAGGTGGTTTTGAAAATGTGTTCTAAAAAAGTAATAAATGGTATGAGCATGGTATTTCGAGAAGGAAGAGAGTTGGAAATCTGAAGTTGTTAATGAGGGTTTTTTGTGTTGTGTAGGCCATACCAACCAAGGGGGTTTTTGGAAACTCGAACAATATGTGCACCAAAATTACTAAAATACACTACATTTGGTGGATGTTAGAATTATGTGAACGGATAGAGATAAAATCTTGAAATTTTGTATAAGAGTCAACTGTTGGAAGTAGTAAGATGGTTTTTGAAATGTGTACTAAGTGCAAGAAATTTTCTATGTGGTACAAAATTTGGAAAAATTTGGTTTTGGATGAATGAATAAAGGTGGAATGTTGAAATTTAGTTAGAAAGAGGTTGATTTGGAATGCGTACAAGACGTGAACGAAAAAAAAGTAAATTACACTAAATTAAGCATATTGTGTAGGAGTAGAACAGGATCTATAGCTATATCTGTTCAGATATAGCTTCCATTTATATGTTTATCCGATTTGGTGTTTAAAGTCCCTCACAAGTGTGATATGCATTCCACAACAATGATATTTGGTATCAGATACAGCTCTGACATAAGTGTATCAAGTTTTGTCAAGATCGGTTCAGATTTGGATATAGCTCCCATGTATATCCTCAACCGATTTCGGGTTTATTGTGCACTATATAGCCAAAATCAGTCCAAATGACCCGAATTTTGGCATATCCGACCGAATTCAGTCTAGAAGCAAGTATATTAAATTTGGTGAGAATCGGTTCAGATATAGCTATAGCTTATATATATAGATATGTTTCATGTGATTTGGTGTTTAAGTCCTTCACATTCGTAATATGCATTCAACAACAAGGATATTCGGTACCAGTTATCAGATACAGCCTAGAAATAAATCTGCCAAATTTTATCAAGATCGGTTCAGATTTGGATAAAGGTCCAAAATATATATTCAACCGATTTCTGGTTAAATGTACACCAAATGACCAATATCAGTCCAAAGTCCTGAATTTTGGTACATTCGGCCGAATTCAGCCTAGAAGCAAGTACATGGAATTCGGATAAAATCGTTTTATATATAGCTATAGCTCCCATATAGAAATAATGGTAATGTACGTTTTTATTTTGTGCAGCTCGGCGATATATATTTTTTAATGTAATCCTTCTCCAAGTGATATCATGCACTCTAAGCAAACTATAACAGCTCTAAAGCCAAATGTTGATAAGTGGTATGATCTACTAGAGATTAATTCTTTGGTTACGGGAGCTCTACTAAATATGCATAGTGGTGTAGTATATCATATAGACCCGCCCGACTTTTGAAATTTCCTTACTGGTTTAAATTCTTGAATTCGTTTTATTTTTATCTAAGAACCACAAGTATTTGTATATAAAATTTTTAAAAGCACTGAAGCGAATCTAGTCATATATATAAATTAAGTTAATACAAATTCCAAGAAAAGAGATCATTTGTTTGACCCTAGGATTAGTCCTACTGAAATTGGTTATAATCGTTTATGATTTGAATATCGATTTGGTACACCAAATGCAAAATTTATTTTAGAACACAATCTCAAATTAATTTGTAGTTCCTATCCCATAAGTGTCATTATATCCTACAACACTATGTGTTGGGGCTATTATAAGTTTGATTGGCCCAAAAATTATGTAACACCTCGAAATATTGGTTTCCCATATAGGAAAGTATATATGGATCTTCCTAGCTCGCCGAGCTGAGTCGATCTAGCTATGTATGTCCGTCCGTCCGTCTGTCCATGTTAATTTGTAATCACGCTACAGGTCGCAATTATGGCCCGATCCTTACGAAATTTTGCACGAAGCTGGGGTTAGGGTCAGAATAGAAGTCTATTTCTTTTGGAGATGATCGTCAAATGTTTAGGGGTTGAAATGGACCAAATACTGAAAAAATGTCGGATTTTGCAGTAGCTATACAGGTCGCAATTATAGACCAATCGACGCATGTAGCTAGAGTTTAGGGCGAGGAAGAAGCCTACTAATTTGGGTGGTCATCGGATAATATTTAGCGGGTAAAATAGACCATATCTTTTGTGTTGAAAAAATTCAAAAATTTTCATTAAACCGCGAATATTTTAAATCCTTACATTGATGTTAACATCCAACAAAACGGATATATGTGCGATATATACGTTTATCAAAGAAGATATGCTTGAAAAATCTCTTATATGTCGAGAACGGCTGAACTGATTTTGACAGTTCTCATTAATTTAGAATGGCCTCTTGGCAGGAAAGAAAAAACTTCTAAAAAATCGCATAAAAATATCTCTCTAAAGATGAAAATATTGATTTGTAAAATTTTCTCATATTTTTTCCATTTTGTCATATTTTTGGCATATTTTCATTTTGAATTAAACATTTGGTAATATTTCTACAGCTAACAAAACTAAGTAGTTAGGATATCAGGATATCATATACAGATCGCATTTATGGCCCGATCCTTACGAAATTTTGCATGGAGATAAGATGAGGGTCAGAATAGAAGCCTACTCTTTTTGGAGATGATTGCCATATATTTAGGGGTTGAAATGGATCAAAAAACTGCAAAATTGTCTGCAGGTCGTAATTATCGCCCGATCCTCACGCACATTTGAATGGGGGTTACCGGACATTACAAAAACCAAGCAGTTTTGTATGACCATCCAGAAATATTCAATGTGTGAAATAGTTTGCCAACTTTTGTAGACAAAATACGAAAATGTCCATTCCAGTGACTTTTTGGAGAATTCATAAATACAGGAAAGACGCACTTCTGACTATTTCGTTAACGCTGATTTCGTTGAAGAATATAGTCAAATGTCTGTATCTCATATAGATGCGTTTCAGTCAAAAACCAATAATAAATGTTAATCTTTTGCCACTTCTGAGAGATTATAGGTCTTTGGGAAATATTGGTTCCAGATCTAGGAAGACCATTTATGTGCAACATCTACCAATAAATTGGAAATGAGCATATTAGTTTAAGTTGCTATTATTCGAAAATTAGAGAACGGAACCTGATGGTTTTCTTTTATTATTTGTCACAATATCTTGTGGAATTCTTTCGAGTATCTCGCCTATATAAACTGTATGGTTTATTATAGTGTTGTAGGGTATTCAACGGTCGGCCCCGCTCGGCTGTAGCCTTTGCTTACTTGTTTTTAAATATCGATACATCGTCCTTTCACGTCCCGATTCGACTCGTCTTCCCACAGTTCATCGTCAATTGGGTTTGGATTATGATGAGAAGGTTTTGCCCTCCATCTGTAATGAAGTTTTGAAGGGTGTCGTAGCCAAATTCAATGCATCCCAATTGATTACACAGCGTGCTCAAGTAAGTTGTAAATGTTGGATGTCCATACAGAGAATAATCTTCATTTTTAAATTTACGTTTAGGTTTCCCTTTTAATTCGCAAAGAATTGGTGGAACGTGCCCGCGATTTCAACATCATTTTGGATGATGTTTCCTTAACAGAATTGAGTTTTGGAAAGGAATATACCGCCGCTGTTGAAGCCAAACAGGTTGCCCAACAAGAAGCCCAACGTGCTGTGTTCTTTGTTGAACGCGCTAAACAAGAGAAACAACAAAAGATTGTTCAAGCTGCGGGTGAAGCTGAAGCCGCCAAAATGATATCCTTTTCAAAACACTTATATATTTATTAAACTTGGTGGGTATGGTAAATTTAGATTCAATATTTTCCCAAGAATTTAGGATTTGTAGGACAGTTGGCGATATCAAATGTAGAGATACTTGCTACAAATCTCCACATATCTTTAAAAATTTAAATAATTGTATTATATTTCTTTAACTGTAAAAATTCTTCACAATTTACTACCCTAGGACTTTAGCGTTCCTCACGACGAAGGACAGACACACTTGAAGGTCCAAAAAATTATTATTTTATTTCAAGTGTCGTAAGGTGGGGATATTCATAGCCTGCTTGTTTAGAAATTTTGCACAAATTGATGTATCGATTGCCGTCAGGAATAGTAAAAAAATCAAATATTTCGGTACAGCAACGGCTTCCGACAGCACGTCATTTTGGGTCTAAAGTGGAGACGCAACGCCCTTACTAAAATACAGCATTTCTGTGGATTTCTTATAACGATACAGCCAATTTCAGAAGTTTGGAATGTTGGAAATATTTTCCAATTGGTATTTTTATTTCTCCCGAATAGATCTTTACCTTACGGTCTCTCCCGATTTTCCTCTAAATGTGTGAAAATTTGAAAACTCGGACCCTCCCACAGAAACCTTCCATACATAATTTTTTAATGCAGGTCAACGTTTGGGCAAGCCAAAGCAACAATTTTGTCAAAATTTTGAACCAATCTCACTCTATTTCCCAACGTTTAGATTATCAGTACATATCTATGTTGTGGTTTAGCTGTAGTTTTTCATTCCCATCGTTTACTTAGGATTTACCGACATATATTTGTATTTTAAATTCTGCTAACCAAAAAACGCATTATTTTTTAAATCTGATATTATATAGTTCAAATTCTTGAATCTAAATTTACCATAATCCGATTTACATATTATCCCAAATATTCCCCCAAATATCTGCCAAAAACAAAACATGGTTTTCTTAACTGCAAAGTTTACTTAGGTCTGGCTGTTAAACAGAATCCCGCCTACTTGAAATTGCGTAAAATCCGTGCTGCTCAAAGCATAGCTAGAACCGTAAGCAAACTAACGTTTACTATTATTTTCTTCTCTCTCATTAACAAATATTCTTCATCTTCCTTCAGATTGCCAGCTCACAGAATAAGGTCTACCTCTCGGCTGACAGCTTGATGTTGAACATCCAAGACTCCGGCTTTGATGACATGACTGAAAAAGTTTACAAAAGTAAATAAACGTTTCTATATCAAGTGAACATCAAAACTCCCCCATCAACTAAAAATAAACAAAATATCTTAACCAACACCATGTGTTAAAAAAAATTAACAAAAAAGTGTTAATGAAAGAAAATGCTGTTTAAAATAATATTTGGCTGACCATGTCATATTGCATTTGTGTAAATAGGTACCATTATTGTTGGTACCTGTTCAACTATCCTTATGAATTTACAAAACTTATTGTTCACAGAGATGTAAATGAAAAATTTACTTGTATTTTCTCTATCTCTCTTTTTGTATTTCTTTCTGCTTTTTGATATGAATTTATTGCTATCTATTTTGAACTTCAATAATATATAGCATTGCCGGAGGATTTATTTGATCATCCACGACATCAGCAACAGCAGCAGCTACACTAACATGAACTTTATTCTAGAAATGCATTTGATGAGCCATTCAGTTTTATTCATTTGGAATCACTTTTTTGTTAATTTCATTTATAATAACTTTTACATTTATTTTATATTTTTTATTGTTTTAAAAATGCTGTATCCATATGGGAAACACAAAATTTCTCTGCAATTTAGTAGCAGCTCCTCCCTCTTCTAATCTATGGATATAAAAAATGTATAATTTCGTCATGTAGTTTTTAAGTTAAGTGAAACACACACAAAAATTGTTAAACAATAATTGAGTTGCTTTTGTAAAAAGCTTCACAGCGAACTCTGAATAATTTTTATTACCATATTCGCATTTCGCCAATGTGTCAAGTGCACATACAAAAGCATACTTAAACAAGAAACAAATAAAAAAGTTATTGTTAAAAAAAAAACAAGCAATTTCCTTAAATGCTGTCTACGATTTGTTTAATAACTATATAAACTAATAAAAGAAGCGATATAATTTCTGTTTAAAAGAACAAGTCAATTTCGTTGTTTGTTAATTCTTATTATTTCTCCCAACATTTTGCAGTTGGCGTTGATTATTGGCTTGATGGATCCACAAAGACTTTAGGCAAACATTCCTTGGGGACAAAAAGTGTGGGAGCATTAGCTCACCACACGGCAGATCGTTTGGTCTAGCAAAATATGCAACACAATGAATAATTATGTGCCTTACGTTTTTTGTTTGTTAACAAATTTATCTTCCGAATTGTTTTCAAAATGTATTTTTATACTGCTGCTGAAAATCTAAATTTTTGAAAAATGTTTTTTGTTTTTCAAATTGCAATAAATTGTCGTACCTTTTTAGTACAAAATACTGTTTTTTTTTGCTCAAAAGTAGCTTGAAAACCAAATTAATCTCACGTCAACTGCGCCTGTTAGGAATGAGGGAAACACTCATCGTCCAGTATTAAACATTTTTTAACTCAAGCCCAAACGTGTATAGGGTCCTTTTGGACCCTATATTTCTTTAGAAGAAATTCGCTTCGGTACATTTGGGATCGACCTAACCATGTTCGATCATCCATCGGTCTGGTGGGTTCGCGCGGAGTAGAGTATATACTTCGTCTCGTATAAAGCGTGGTAAGTACACAATATGATGGTCCAAACTCTATAGTACCACCCTATACAATAGTATGGAGGGTATATTAAGTTTATCATTCCGTTTGTAAGGAGTAGTATGGAGGGTATATTAAGTTTTTCATTCCGTTTGTAACACCTCGGAATATAAATTGTACACCCCACAAAGCAGATTGATCAGCATAGACATCTATGTCGTTTTAGCAATGTACGTCCGTCTCTCTGGCTTTAGGTTGATAAATTTTTACTCAGATTCGGTCCGCGTTTTGTCATAGACCCCACATATATGTACCACGAGTTATGTGGTATTTTGATGATTTGTGCTACACTTTCCACCGGAAATTTGTAATTCGAAGTTCGTAATGGCTAATACAATTTGTATATGCAGGTCCAGGTATTTATATATCTATATTCGGTATTTGATGATTTAAACGACATTATTCACTGGAATGTTTCAAATTTCGTAATGAGTCCTAAAGTCTATGACAGAAAAATACTGTGCAGGTCCCCCTCTTCATTTCCGTATAGAGGACAAAGTCAAATAAAAAAAATGTATAAGGCGGACAAGGCCCCTTACACTTCGATGGTTTATATATAAACGAGTATGGGATGATTCATCAACGCACAGGCGAAATGGCGGAAGCTGGAATCTTGACATTTAGCTTGTAGGTCAATGCTGGTTTGTAGGAATGAGATAAGGTAATTTAAAGTGTACTAAACCTATTAAAAGCTAATTAAAGTGGAATCTATTTTATTGGTCATACGGATATATCTAAAATTCCGAAATTTCAAATGACGGTCGCTGAGGATGGAAAGATGTACCAAAGGTTTTTTTGGAAAAGCTGTAATGTACTAAAAGTTCTAAAAAGCACCATTTGGTATTTGGTGAACGAATAGAGCTAAAATCTTGGCATTTGGAATAAGGATTTACTTAAGGAATTAGGGGGAGGAGGTTTGGAAATATGTATTAATTGTAAGAAATTTACTAAATGGTAATAAATTTGGAAAAAATAGTGTTGATAGATGGAGCTGGAATTTTGAAATTTTTATATTGGGATCACTGTAAGTGTGTGGGGCTAAGATTTGATCGTGATTATTACCAAAAAAAAAAATACGAAAAGCACTAAATATCACCGAAATTTTTGGTATTTGGGGAAGGGATATATTTGGAAATCTTAAATTTAATATTAAGCTCCATTTTTATGAAGTAAGGTCGAGATTTGGAGGTGTTTTTTTTGAAAAGTGTACTACTGAAATTTGGTATGAGGATCTCTTATGCTGTGTAGGATAGACGAACCAAAGGTTTTTTGGAAACTCAAATAATAATTTTGAAATGTTGGTATTGGATCCACTGCTGGGGTTGAAATAATGAAGTGGTTTTGTAAATACCTGCCAAAAGTGTACGAAAAGTACTAAGAGGTACTAAATTTGATTTTGGGTGAACGGATAGTGTTCGAAATCTGAAGTTTGGCATTAGAGCCACTGTGAGTTTATTGCATTGAGATTTTGAGGTGGTTTTGAAAATGTGTTCTAAAAAAGTAATAAATGGTATGAGCATGGTATTTCGAGAAGGAAGAGAGTTGGAAATCTGAAGTTGTTAATGAGGGTTTTTTGTGTTGTGTAGGCCATACCAACCAAGGGGGTTTTTGGAAACTCGAACAATATGTGCACCAAAATTACTAAAATACACTACATTTGGTGGATGTTAGAATTATGTGAACGGATAGAGATAAAATCTTGAAATTTTGTATAAGAGTCAACTGTTGGAAGTAGTAAGATGGTTTTTGAAATGTGTACTAAGTGCAAGAAATTTTCTATGTGGTACAAAATTTGGAAAAATTTGGTTTTGGATGAATGAATAAAGGTGGAATGTTGAAATTTAGTTAGAAAGAGGTTGATTTGGAATGCGTACAAGACGTGAACGAAAAAAAAGTAAATTACACTAAATTAAGCATATTGTGTAGGAATAGAACAGGATCTATAGCTATATCTGTTCAGATATAGCTTCCATTTATATGTTTATCCGATTTGGTGTTTAAAGTCCCTCACAAGTGTGATATGCATTCCACAACAATGATATTTGGTATCAGATACAGCTCTGACATAAGTGTATCAAGTTTTGTCAAGATCGGTTCAGATTTGGATATAGCTCCCATGTATATCCTCAACCGATTTCGGGTTTATTGTGCACTATATAGCCAAAATCAGTCCAAATGACCCGAATTTTGGCATATCCGACCGAATTCAGTCTAGAAGCAAGTATATTAAATTTGGTGAGAATCGGTTCAGATATAGCTATAGCTTATATATATATAGATATGTTTCATGTGATTTGGTGTTTAAGTCCTTCACATTCGTAATATGCATTCAACAACAAGGATATTCGGTACCAGTTATCAGATACAGCCTAGAAATAAATCTGCCAAATTTTATCAAGATCGGTTCAGATTTGGATAAAGGTCCAAAATATATATTTAACCGATTTCTGGTTAAATGTACACCAAATGACCAATATCAGTCCAAAGTCCTGAATTTTGGTACATTCGGCCGAATTCAGCCTAGAAGCAAGTACATGGAATTCGGATAAAATCGTTTTATATATAGCTATAGCTCCCATATAGAAATAATGGTAATGTACGTTTTTATTTTGTGCAGCTCGGCGATATATATTTTTTAATATAATCCTTCTCCAAGTGATATCATGCACTCTAAGCAAACTATAACAGCTCTAAAGCCAAATGTTGATAAGTGGTATGATCTACTAGAGATTAATTCTTTGGTTACGGGAGCTCTACTAAATATGCATAGTGGTGTAGTATATCATATAGACCCGCCCGACTTTTGAAATTTCCTTACTGGTTTAAATTCTTGAATTCGTTTTATTTTTATCTAAGAACCACAAGTATTTGTATATAAAATTTTTAAAAGCACTGAAGCGAATCTAGTCATATATATAAATTAAGTTAATACAAATTCCAAGAAAAGAGATCATTTGTTTGACCCTAGGATTAGTCCTACTGAAATTGGTTATAATCGTTTATGATTTGAATATCGATTTGGTACACCAAATGCAAAATTTATTTTAGAACACAATCTCAAATTAATTTGTAGTTCCTATCCCATAAGTGTCATTATATCCTACAACACTATGTGTTGGGGCTATTATAAGTTTGATTGGCCCAAAAATTATGTAACACCTCGAAATATTGGTTTCCCATATAGGAAAGTATATATGGATCTTCCTAGCTCGCCGAGCTGAGTCGATCTAGCTATGTATGTCCGTCCGTCCGTCTGTCCATGTTAATTTGTAATCACGCTACAGGTCGCAATTATGGCCCGATCCTTACGAAATTTTGCACGAAGCTGGGGTTAGGGTCAGAATAGAAGTCTATTTCTTTTGGAGATGATCGTCAAATGTTTAGGGGTTGAAATGGACCAAATACTGAAAAAATGTCGGATTTTGCAGTAGCTATACAGGTCGCAATTATAGACCAATCGACGCATGTAGCTAGAGTTTAGGGCGAGGAAGAAGCCTACTAATTTGGGTGGTCATCGGATAATATTTAGCGGGTAAAATAGACCATATCTTTTGTGTTGAAAAAATTCAAAAATTTTCATTACGGCTGAACTGATTTTGACAGTTCTCATTAATTTAGAATGGCCTCTTGGCAGGAAAGAAAAAACTTCTAAAAAAATCGCATAAAAATATCTCTCTAAAGATGAAAATATTGATTTGTAAAATTTTCTCATATTTTTTCCATTTTGTCATATTTTTGGCATATTTTCATTTTGAATTAAACATTTGGTAATATTTCTACAGCTAACAAAACTAAGTAGTTAGGATATCAGGATATCATATACAGATCGCATTTATGGCCCGATCCTTACGAAATTTTGCATGGAGATAAGATGAGGGTCAGAATAGAAGCCTACTCTTTTTGGAGATGATTGCCATATATTTAGGGGTTGAAATGGATCAAAAAACTGCAAAATTGTCTGCAGGTCGTAATTATCGCCCGATCCTCACGCACATTTGAATGGGGGTTACCGGACATTACAAAAACCAAGCAGTTTTGTATGACCATCCAGAAATATTCAATGTGTGAAATAGTTTGCCAACTTTTGTAGACAAAATACGAAAATGTCCATTCCAGTGACTTTTTGGAGAATTCATAAATACAGGAAAGACGCACTTCTGACTATTTCGTTAACGCTGATTTCGTTGAAGAATATAGTCAAATGTCTGTATCTCATATAGATGCGTTTCAGTCAAAAACCAATAATAAATGTTAATCTTTTGCCACTTCTGAGAGATTATAGGTCTTTGGGAAATATTGGTTCCAGATCTAGGAAGACCATTTATGTGCAACATCTACCAATAAATTGGAAATGAGCATATTAGTTTAAGTTGCTATTATTCGAAAATTAGAGAACGGAACCTGATGGTTTTCTTTTATTATTTGTCACAATATCTTGTGGAATTCTTTCGAGTATCTCGCCTATATAAACTGTATGGTTTATTATAGTGTTGTAGGGTATTCAACGGTCGGCCCCGCTCGACTGTAGCCTTTGCTTACTTGTTTTTAAATATCGATACAGAGCTCACATACATGTTGCATGAAGTTAGAGGGAGAATAAACGTAGGACCAAATCGGTTTGGATATCCTATTTTTTATTATAGTATGCATTTCATGGTCATATTTTGCATTCTAAAACCATGCGATTTTTTCGCATG